AATAGTAGTTATCTGGAAAGTGGAACAAAGGAAGCTAATTTTTTTGTTTGGACTTTTCAACAAGGTCTACTTCTATAACTGGCTGAAAACTATAGTTAAAGAAGAAATTTGTTTACCAGTTTAATTAACCAAGATTCAGCTCTTAAACTAGCTTTTAAACCGTTTTTAAGAATAGTTTCTGGTGAAATTCCTTTTTCATGTTCCATCTTTTGCTAACCTCAAACTGGATATATAGGCTATTTCTCTTTAAAGGATGAGGTCACACATAAAGAACTAATTTATCTCGGACAGAGGTGGAGGTAGGAGAAGCACTAGGTACACAAAAAAGAAAGATATCTCCAGGCAGTCTGGAATCCAGTTGACTCCAAGGAAATGAATGTTCAATCAGCAGTGGACCATAAATCAATCGTCGTCATGTGAATTCAAGGAGAGAGGCCAGTTTCAGTTATTTCCAAAGAGATGTTTTCTTAATTGCTTGATTCTGAGACAGAATTTCCCCAAGGATTTCAAATCAGAACATGTTAAAGTTAAAAATTTCTACAGAATCTAAAAATTTACACAACTCTTTGTTTTGCATGTTTGTTTCTCAGCCAAAAAGGAGCAGATCGTTTTTAACAATGTTTAACAGAATAACTGGCCAAATACTGTTTGGGGTGCCAACACATTAACGAACAACGGTAACAAAGCACTTAAACTGCATAACAGATATATTTTCTATTTTGATATGCAATTAAGGATCACACACAGGCCTGGGTATAAGTAGTAGTGATTAAGTGATTAAAAAAATTAAACTTCTGTTGTATACAGAACAGCTGCATCTTGAAATATGGAATTTTTCACACTATAGAGTAACACTAACATTTCTGAGGAGTCTTAAAATATTAAAACAAAATGCAAAATTCAAATGTATTAAAAGTAAGTTATCTTCAAGAAATATCATGAGCAGAGTATAATATGTTTTTCTCTTGTTTCCTTCCTTCATATAAAAATACAATTTTGATATTGTAGCCTAGAAAGCTTTAAAACTATTATAATAGAAAGTGGTAGTTAGGAATTCTGATTAAGTATATAAAAACCTCCAAATGTACTTCAATGAAAAAAGCAGTTTTCTGAGGAGGGTGGAAATTCCTGACCCAATGGTACTGTATCATTTTAAAAAAAAAAGTAGTTTTCTGAAAGAGGTATAGTGTTGAAGAAAATTTAGTTATCTGTCATAGAAAAGATCTGAAAATAATTAATGATAGTTACCTATGAGTAGTAATGCCTTTTCTTATAACTTTTCTATGCTTTCATATGCTTCAATAGTAAACATGGCAAATAAATGGCAATATATACATACAGCTCTTAGTATAAAAATATCATTTTACTTACTGATTTTCCTTCTAAGAATTTACTGCCAACTCTTCTCAAAAATACTTAAAATGCAGACACATGGTTATGTACATAAAATTATTCAATGCAAATTATCTACCATAAAACTGAAACCATAAAATTATGCAAATTTCAATAAGAGGGATTCAGCCACAAAGTCAAACACCTAACAGAAACATTTTATATAAAGTATGAGTATACAGAACATTTAAGCTACAACATTAAGTGGAAAAAAATAATACAATTTATACATATATATCATGCAGTCTCATCTATGGCAAAATGTATCTTAAAAATTTAGAGAGAAAAATGCCACAATGTTAAAAATGGTTTACTCCCAATGAGGAAAAGAGCACCATACACATACTTTTTTTTATACATTATCCTATTCTTTATCCTTTTTATTCTCTACAGCAAGAGACTGTTTCTTTAGTAGACAAGAAACAAATCTTAGGGTGCAAAATGATCTTTCTGGAATTCATAAGACACACACACACAAAACTTAGCTGAAAGAATAAAGTTATTTCCTAAATGCATTAATATAACACTATTCAAGGTCATTTACAGAATAACAAACTAGCAACCACTACTGCCTAAAACAGTTTAACAGCCTAAATTCTTTTCCCATTATGCTAATTTTATAAAATTAGTTTCTCTAAATCATAAGCCACAAACCCGTACTACAGAGCTTTCATGAAATATTACATTAGGAAACTCGATTCTACCACCACCTGCCTTCCCTTTTGTGTGCGAAATTTACATAGAGATCTAACACAGGAATGAATACCCACGTCAGATGATGATGTAATTATATGCCTTAAACAACGTTAAGCTATTTGACAGACTAAAATGAAGATTTTTGCCTACTAATTTGTTTTTTTTACCCAAAAAGGAAACATACTTGGATCTCACCAGGTCTGTACAGCAGACATTATTTCTGGATCCAGGGTGAAGGACAGAGCAGAGCAGCTCAGTAAGGGAAGAGCTGTGAGGGGCAGAGCGCACAGATGTTTAAAATTGGTCCTGAAATTTGCCTCAGGATCCAGTGTGGGGAACAGAGCCCCAAGCCCTGAACACACTGAACACACTTACATGATTGCTGACACACAGTATATGAGGATACTCTTAAAAATAATAGGATTAATTGTAATAGCTTGTTGTTTTATTTTTATAGTACGTTCAACAATAAGACCCTAAAATAATTTAAAATAAAACATTAACCTTTTCACTAGCCCACTTAATTCCAGTTCTAAAGTATACTTATTAAAGACACATCTATGCATCCAGTGACTGTATAACAAATACTGCTTTAAAGAAACCATTCTTTAACAATAAAAGGTGTATTTCAAAGAAATAGATGAGGCTACATGCTCTCACTCAACAATTCTCAATGCAATCACCTATAAAAGTTCACAAAGCAGCTTTCTAAAATGTATTAAGACCTACAGAAACTTCTGTTTCAGCCACTGCCTTGCCCCTCCTCACTCCTAACTAAATACACCTCCTCACACTGAAAGATTACACTCAACCACCTTTTTCCACTTACCATTTCTACCAATTAGTACTATTCTTACTAACACTTTCAAAAAGCACAAGACAGGTTCCAGGGATTTAAAAAGTCAACTTTTAACGAATCATTTTACATATGACACATACAAGTTAGGATCAGAACGCTCCTTCACCATCTGGCTGGGTCTTCAATTATAAATGCATTGATCTTACACTATTGATAACTAAACGACTCTGACTCCACAGCGCCCCCTAGCTAAGATACATGTGTGAAAGAGACACCATTTGCACCGAGGATCTCAAGACAAAGTGTCAGTCACTAGCAGCTGCTCCACTTAAGGCGTTCTTACACAGATACCATATGCTAACTCAAGCTGACCTGACAACAGCTGACTTTAGTAAATGGTATTGCTAATACCGGTAAAAGCTGTTAAAAAAAAAAGGTTTGGAATTCGCAAGATAACACGGTTCAGAAGTTCCCTAGAACTCGTTTTCTAAGGCACAATTTGAGTTTTACAAAGTCACTAAGCAAGAAGTCCTGCTTTAAAAAAAAGTGCATTTAAAATGCCTTCTTCCGTCGTGTAAGCGGGGAATGTAATGGTATTAGCCATGGCTCTCTAGAGGTATAGAACCGCTTTCTTTCTAAAAACGCTGGGGTCAAATTAAACTACACAAAGATCCAGCAGTGGCATTATAGTTAAATTATCACTGACATTACAAACTTAACCTAAACTGCTAATAATCGCACACTAGTGAGAAGAAAATTTTGTGACCTCGGTCCTGACGCTTCACAAAAAAGGGTCCGGTTCGGGCTGCTTCAGGGTCAGGAGATGACAATGACACACTCCTGTTTAGAATGGACCTTAGGCAAAATTTCCAAGTACAGCAACAGCCACAAAAATCACTCAGGTTTTCAAACACCCTTCGCCTTACATAAGTCATTCTGGGAGGGGAGAGAGAGAAAAAAAAATAGTGCTACTTTAATCCACAAACTCTAGTGCCTTCAGACAAATACCGGAAAAACCGAAACAGGTTGAAAACTAGGGCTGGGTGGTGGTGGATGAGAAGGTATCCCATTCCAAGTGGCAACTCCACCAAGGGAGAGAGGTCGTCAAAACCAGCAGGTTTTCCGCGCAAAGGAGTTCTCGCTACCGTTTTCCCAAGGTATTCAATGTGCACGTCTTAAATTAGAGACCCCGAGGCGAGCAGCTTCAGACGAGGAAGGGGGTGGGGGGGACGGGTTAGGTAAGAAAGAGACTTGTGAGATCTGTGCGGTGCATTCGAACGTGCGCTGCAGGAGGATGCTGGCTTCGCCGCCAGCAAGCCGCCAAGAGCTCCAGGAGCAGACGGGCAGAGCCACCGGCCGCGGCTTCAGGAACGCGGACTGGCAGCCAGCACGCACACGGGGCACACAGACACCCCAGCCGGGAAAGCCTAACTCACCAAACGGTGCAAACGCGGAGGGACCGACGGGGCCAGCTCTATTGTCTGGAGTATTAGAAGGGAATGCCTCAGGCGATCCATCAAGCTAGCCAGACACCAACCCAGGGACACACTACGGGGCGACGGGAGCCCGGAGAAGCCCGCCAGGTGACATTCCCCGAGCCCTGGCGGGGGGCAGGCCCGGGCCGTCGGGGTCACGGGGGTCGCGCGATGGCACCCCACTCCCAGCCGCGCCGCCCGTGCCGTCCGCGGGGCGGGCGCGCGTCTCTCACCGCGCAGTCCCGGAGCACCGAGACTTCCCCTCGCACCCCACCCCCCGCCGAAAGCAGGGAAGACGCGGAACTTGGGCTCCGGAGCGAGGGCCACAGATCAGGTCACGGCCCGGGTGGGAGGCTCGAGGCGAAACCCCGAGCGGCGCCCGGAGGCGGCGCGGGGTCGGGTGGGAGAGCGAAGCCCCGGGCCGGTCGAGTTTCCATTGGGACGGCGCCCGAGTCCGGGGAACCGGGCCCCGGTGCCCCCTGCACCTCCCGGCTCTTGGCGGCCCCAGGCCCTCTCGCCCGAGCGAGTGGCGCGGCCTCTCGGCTCTCCCCGGCCCCGGCACTGCAGCCGCCCCCCCGGCCCCCGTTTCGGGAAACAGTTCCTCTCCCAAACGCTCCCGCCGAGCCCCCGGGCCGCACCTCCGTCTTCGTGATCCGGTGCCGCCCCAGCTTCACCACGGCGAAGTTGCCCTTGCCCAGCGTGCCCTCGATGTCGTAGAACCCCACCCGGACCGGCCCGCGCTGCAAGTGCCTCGGGCCATCCGCCATGACCATGCTGGGCCCCGCTGCTAGACACGGCGACGGGAGCGCGGGCGGGCGGCCGGGCGGCCGGGCGGCAGGCAGCGCGGCTGGGCTCCGGCGACGGCCGCTCCGCTCGCTCCTTCGCTTCTTCCCTCCCGCTCCGCAGGGCCCAGCCAGGCGCGCGCCGCCGCTGACGTGCACCGACGTCAGGGGGCCGGCAGGGGGGCGGGGGCGGGACCGGGGCTCCATTGGTCACCATGGCGACCGGAGCACCGCCGACGTCGGCGCCGGGCGGCGGGGTGGGAGGGGACGCGGTGCGGGGAGGGGCGCGGGGCCAGGCCGGCTCGCTCCTTCCGGGCTCTGGCGCCCCGCCGGCTCCCCCGCTTCGCCTCGCGCCGCCGGGGGCGGGGTGCGCCGCCCGGCCCGCCCCGGGTTTCGGCTCTGCAGCCGAAGGGCAAGAGCGAGCCCTGGTGGGTGTTGGGGAGGGCTGCAGCGACCTGAATCCGGCCTGTGGGCTGCTTCCTCAGCCCGGCGTTCTCCGCCCACCTGAACACCTTCCCGCCAAAACCTGTCACGGACGAGTACAGCGCGTCCTAAATTTGTCCAAGAGCTCTGGCTGAGCAACGCGTTGCTCACAGGTTCCTTTCTTTGTGTCCTTTTCCCGCGGCTGTATAATGATCCTTTCCCAGTTTGAGGTCTCCTTGGAGTCGTTCTGACAGCACAGGTACCCTCCCAAGAGAACAGTTAACCCAGGCGTTTGCAGCCTCAGACTGGCTTTGGACACGGAACTTGCCGCAGATCTAGGCACACTTCTGGGGCAGTGGGATGGTAGTTTCCATCACAATCCCAAATGTGGTGGGGATTCTGAAAAGGCTGAGAAACTACTTAGTTTACCAAACTCTTTTTTCAGGTGGTGACGCAGGCTGCAAGCAATAAAGGGAATTGCCAAGATCGCACAGGTAATCATAGTTAGGAGTTAAAATCACCACATGGTGAGCTAAGGAAACAGGAACAGAGGCATTTTAATATCCAGAAATCTGTCATGAAACCCCAAATCTTGGTTTCTTTCTTTTTTGAAAAACTTCCTCACTTCTCTGAAAGGCAGAGCAAAAGGGAGAGACAGGTATCTTCCACCTGTTGGTTCACTCCCCATATGGCCACAACAGCCAAAACTGAGCAGCCTGGAACTCTGTCCATCCCACGTGGCTGCAGGGCTCCAAGGACTCTGGGGGTCTTCTGCCTGCTTGTCCGTTAGCTGCTTTCGCAGATGCATGAGAAGGGGGCGGCGTCTGCAGTAGCTTGGCGGAACTGGGACCTGCACTTACATGGGATGCTGGTGTTGTACGGGGTTGTTTAACCGCTGAGCCACTGTGCTGGTTCCCACATTTTGATCTATCTTTCTTTCTGTCTGTCTGTCTTTCTGTCTGTCCTTTCCTATTGGAAAGTCATATATACAGAGAGGAATAGATTCTGCCCATTGATTCACTCCCCAAGAGGCTGCAATGGCCAGAGCTGAGCTGATCTGAAGCCAGGAGCTAGGAGCTTCTTCCAGGTCTCCCGCACAGGTACAGGGTCCCAAGGCTTTGGGCTGTCCTCGACTGCCTTCCCAGCCACAAGCAGGGAGCTGGATGGGAAGCAGGGCCACCAGGATTAGAACTGCTGTCCAAATGCTATCGTGGCACGTGCAAGGTGAGGACTTCAGTCTCTAGACTGCTGCCCTGGGCCCACATCTTGGTTTCTGAATATCATTCTCTACAAGAAACTCCACCCCTTGGTAAAACTGCTGATTCCAGGGTGGAGACCGGGAAAGTGTGAAGTGTTCTTGACAGAGAATTCTTGTATGCAAAGGAGGAAATTGCAAAAGAAAAAAGACGGCTTTATCTGAGACAATTTGAATTTTAGGCATGACTATTGGTAGAATTAGATTGTAAGATGGAATCTTTTTCTCTTTTAACAAAGATTTGTTTATTTGAAAGTCAGAGTTACAAAAAGGGCAAGACAGAGAGACAGATATCCTTCCTCTGCTGACTCAGTCCCCATATGGCTGCAATGGACACAAGACTGAATTAAAAAAAAAAAAAACAAAATCCCTAAGTGCATGCTTATTCCAAATTCTGTAGTAAATAAGTCAACAAATAGGGGGGTGAAAGTTCTTGACACCGGAATGCCAGCTAATACATATAGAAGATACTATGAAATTAAGAAATCCTCATTTTACAAGCATTATAATAATAGCTGGTTCCCAAAGCAATTGCCAGTAGATGTTAAAATTATTGGATGGAATTTGACTGGGGGGCAGGATATCTACACAATCTCAAAATGTCTTCCAACTTCTTATTCATTATAAGATGTTAGCAAAGTTATTTTTACAGTGGGGAAATGTGACAGACACCACTGTCACCAAATGATTGAAGTGTCACCAGTTATGGGATTAGTTGATATGATGTGCTTCCTGATAGGAGGTACAGAGTAGGATGCAGTATTTCTCGTGGAGTAGCCCACCCAAAAATGCACATTCTGAACCTATCACAAAGACCTCATTAGAAAAGGATGGAAATTGAGAAACACCTACCCAGCAGCTAACGTGCTGTTCGAAAATGTCAGTCTCATGAAAGAAAAAGGCTGATGAGCCTGTCAAGATTTACAGGATTAAAGAAACATGACTATCAAGGAAATATGTAGGAACCTGCATTCCTGAAAACCAATCTAAAAAGGAATATTTTGAGGGCAATTGTTGAAATGTGACTATGGATTGAATGTTAGAGTGTTGTTTCTGTGTTAAGTTTCTTGAAGGGAATACGCTTATAAAGAGATGAGCACTGAAGTGTTTAGAGATAAAAATCTTTGCTGTCCGGGGGCTGAGCATTTGATGTAGTGATTAAGATTGTGCTAGGGAAGCCCTCATCCCATAGCACTGGAGCCTGAGTTCAAGTCCTCCCTCCAATCCTGATTGCAGCTTCTGGCCCATGTGCACCCCAGAAGCAGCGATGATGGGTCAAGTGATTGGGCCCCTGTCAGCCGCTTGAGAGACCCAGATGGAGTTCCTGGCTCCAGTCCGCTACCTGGCTCAGTGCTTGCTATTACTGGTAGTTGGGGAGTGAACTAGCAGTGGGAGATATCTGTCTTTGTGTCTTTCAGATAAATAAGAAGAGTAAGTTTTAGATTTTCTAAAAAGTTTCTGATATATGTAACTTACTCTCACCTATTTTATAGGTAAGATAGAAATGCAAATGTCACAAACAGTAAATGGATAAAACTAGGCAAAGATATGATTCTTTTAACTTTTCTCTAGTTTTATTTTTTAATTAAAATAAGTATATATTTTCATTTTTTAATGAAAATACATACAAGTGTGCATGCATTTAAGTTGATTTCATTTTCCTAGTGTAAGATTGGCCCCTGGGCCTTCCATTGTGCACTGTGTCTTCACCTTTCACTGTTTGTTCTATCCTAGAGTACGTTTTGTTAAAAAATGAGGGGTAGAGTTGGGGAAGACTTTCACACTGACCAAATTTTTGGATTGATGGAATTGGTGTATGCGGATTTTTCCAATTAGACCAGAAACCCACATATTTACCTCATTTCAAATATAATTATTCTGTATATTTTGCTAATTAGATGAATATACTTTAATGTTCTAGAAGTGTGTTCCTTTGGGGAGCAAATGAAAAGCCATTTACTCAGGAACCAAAAAATGTGCATAGAAACCCACAAGCATGAACAACCTCTGTTAAAGTATGCCCCTTGAACAGAAATTGACTCATTTCTGTATGATTATTTTAATCAGATAATCAGGTCAACTACCAAGTTGCACAATCTGGAAAGAAGAACTGATTGTGGATAGAAAGAAAAAGTTCAGCTGGAAATATGACAGTGTCCCATGCGCATGTGCTGGGTGTCTAAAAGTTAGACAAAGGGAGGCTAGAGAGATGAGGGGAGGATGGGAATGCCTTTGCCCATTTGGAAATGCAGTGGATGTGTCTCTGAACATTATTGGTAGTTATGCATGAAACCCTGAAGCAGTATATGTGAGCTAATTTAGACTGTGCAGCCTTGGATTCCCTGATTCAGCTCTATTTCCTCCATCCAAAGATCTATACCCCTTTCGGTCTCAACCCATATGTCTCTTACATGCTTTTGCCATTCAACTAAATGGTGGCTATATATATGTCCGTATATGTAGTTATTAATATTGTTCCAACTCCTGCCTTACTCTTTTTTTTCCTGTTGCCCTCTTCCTCTCCTCTCCTTTTTATAATTCATACACACATGTGTGCACACACATACACATGAGCACACACCTTAATACATGACACCCTCAGGAAAAAAAGAACAAAAGGTAAAGGGGTGAAGAAGAACAAGAAAAGGCCCTTCATAAAGTCTCCATCTTTCTCCTTTTGGGTTTTAGTGTCAGTGAGGCGGCACACCTGAGTCATCACATTTGCTTTTTGCTTGACCTTTAAAATGCATTCCCAGCTGATAACGTGAGTCCACTATATTTGCCCTTGATTCGATTTTTAAAGAGATGTTAACACTTGACAAGGCAACGGGTATATACGTAAAGAATTAGGAAAGATGGTAAGGGCCTGAGCTGAGAATAAGTTCCTTAGTATATTTAACTTGGAATAAAGTAGACAAAGGCATGTAATGAAGACAGGAGCTCAGAGACAGAATGAAAGAATGGTTTGAAATGTGGAAAAAGAAAACTTCATGGCTCAGTGCTGCACATACATATTTTGCTGAAGCAAACAGTCTGTGAACTTGAAAATCAAGATGTGTACCATTTGTTTCCTTGATCATGAACAATGCCTGCATTTTTACTGTTTCATTATTTCAGAGCTGAAGGAAAGTCAATATACCAGTAGGCTTAGGTCTGGATTTAGATTTAATTCAGATGAAAAGCTGTCTTTAGTAGATGGCTTTGCTTAAACAGAATAAGTTGCAAAGCTAGAATTAATGCTTTGCTTTCATATTAGCAAAAGCAGAGAGTACATTAGAAGATTCACATCACTGATTCATGCCAATTCCACATTGCTTATTAGTATAAAATAAAAAATTCACAAATACTC